CACTTCACACACTCCACCTCTCTGCTCTCTGCCTCTGTCTGGGTATACACTCTAAATGGATTGTTATTGAGCTGGTGTCCAGCTCATGTGTGTATCCATGCATACTGGTCCCAGGCTGCTTCTGAAAAACTGCCTTGACTCTCTGTGCTGTCTCCTTACTGCTTCGCCAGCACAATGACCTTTTGCAAACATTAGCTCTGTTAATGGGCAGAAAGCTCAGAGCACAGTGCCTAGTGTGACGTTATGAACACTAACTGTCAGCTTTGTGTGACTTTAACCAAGGGATTGCTCGGAAACAATGGAGGCCATCTCCAACATTCCCTACATCTCCAATAGTCTCTGCAGCCACCAAAGACAGACCTTGGGTGATTACAACCCTTTCTTGGTGTTTAGATCTTCGGAGATGTAGAGGACACGGTTTGTGTCAGTTTCCTAGTGTCCTTTTGCACTTCTCTGCTCCATCCATACCCCATTTCTGACTTGTCACTCACCAAAGGACAGGGGAAGCTGAGGGCTGAGCAGGTGAGACAAATCCCAGGTCCTAGACTGAGAGCTAAATTTTCTAGACACTCCCGCTCAGGAGCATCATGGGGGCTGGTCCCCATCACAGCTGATGGGAGCAGAGCCAGCTCTGCCTCCCCTAATAGCATACATGATGCTACAGAACTTTGCCTGAGGATGGACCCTTCTTCTCAGAGCTGTGTGAGGCTTAAGCACATGCTCAGGGCAAGGCATGCCAGGCACTGCCTAGCTTGTCCCTAGTGCCTTCTCCTGACCTCCTTGAGCTTTTATGCAGGTGTCTAGAACAGTGGTTCTCAACCCATAGGTTGGGACTCCATGAGGGTTGCCTATCAGATATTTACATTACCATTCATAACAGTTAGAAATTAGTTACGATGTAGCAACAAAATAACTTTATGGTTGGGGGTCAACACAACATGAGGAACTGTATTAAAGGGTCGCAGCTTCGAACCACTGGTCCAGAATAAAATATACCAAAAGTAACACAGCTGGCTGGACTTAACCCTGCCACAAGCTACCTGCTCCATCTTTAGCCTCCGCCTCCTCCAGCATACCTCTTGCCATGCAAGAGGAGTGGCTGACGAGACAATACCAACCACACCCAGGTCTTCAAGCCCTGGTACTTGGATCGCTTTAAGTCCTTGTCCAAGTCGATCCGTACCTCTCTGCGGGGTCTACCCTGCAAACAGCAGGCTCCTGAGGGGTTGGGAGGAGTGTAGACTTGTGAACTAGTCCACGGGCCCTTGTTAGTGTGGGTGGAGTCTGGGCAATGATGGGATGATTGTGAGGTCTTCAGTATCACCTCGCATGTTCCTCTGTTGAAAAAGACTTCATGCTTCCCTTTCCCACAATTGTTTGACTTGCTTGATCACACAGCCAGCCCCCCACACTCCATACTGTGACTCCCAGAAGAGCCAGCATCTCTTTTAAACACAAAAATTTCTTTCACCCTTAACCATGGTCAAGGCTGTGACTGGTCATAGTAGGTCACTGTGGGCGTTTAAAGGATCCAAGCAGGTGTCTTGTTTTATATCATCTGGGACCTTGTTTTTCCTGCTCTTACTTTCCCATCTCTTTGCTTATGATTAACACTGTCTTCTTCTTTTCATTGATAATTTCTTTAAGGGAAGACTTCATTACATCACGCAGTCTTGCCTCAGCCTCCTGAGTACTTGACATTTACCCCTGCTAACCACTAGGCTGGGCTTGTATAATTCGGAATTTTACCTCATATCCAGTTTAGATGATGATGATATAAGGTGTTGTGGGGCCCCAGGGTAAACCATCCCTACTTATATGACGGGCCCAGGGGGTGCCCAAAGCACATACCTTCTTCAGTCAGAGCCAGTATCACCTGAAGCAGGGAACTTCGAAACCTGCATGACCCTCACCCCTACCAGCATCTTCCACCCTGGATTGAGGGTAGAGGCCTAGGCTTCACTCTTGGTTCTGTCAGCACCTCCAGAGGTGTCAGGACACTAGACAGTCTCTTTTCTCCCCTGTACCCAAGTGACTGGAAGACATCCCAGAGCAGACACATTGGAAGGAAGCCCAGCACCTATCATGAACACCCGCCTCCCCTCATGTGGTCCCACTCAGATCCCAGGCTCACATTTGGCTCAACCCTCCTGGAGGCTCAATGCCTCTCCAGGACTGATCCTCAGCCTCCATGGCCCTCATCCCCAGATGTAGCATTGTCTGGGCTGAAAACTCATCCTTAGCCAGGAATCCATAGCAACCTGTGGCATGGGGGGCAGGGGTTTAGTGAGCACTCTGGAGCTGGTCCACAGCCTGAATCTAAGACATGCCCAGGGCTTCCCCATGAGTAATTTCAGCGGGGAAGCCTACACAAAGTTTCCAGACAGACACACCTCTGAAACAACCACATTCTGCTTTATTGGGTGTTCAGTGGTAATATAACACAGACTTCTTCTTAAGGAATAATAAACACGAGACTTGTATTTTACCATAATTATTTTGCCGTTAAGACAGTGGTTACAAAAAATAAAACAAAAAAAAATAAAAAAACAAAAGTACCTTTCTGGCTACACACATGATCAGCTTTAGCACTGAAAGGTCCCCCCCTCATGGGTCACAATCACAATTTCAAGGGTTAAAAACCATCTAGCAGTAAATCCTACATTGATTTAGAGCATCAAGTCACTGCAGTTATTCAGTTCTGAGACACTGTTGACTTATTTTAGCATTTACATGACATTCATTTAACAGACACAGAAAGCGAGCGAGCCGACAGGTAAACATGCTTACACGGACTGCGGGAATCTTCAGGTTTGAAACTGTTCGGTTTGGTTTGGTTTTTAAGAAAATGACCTATAAAACAAGCAAAAGGGCCACAGCCCCGTACAAGAAACAGCAGGAAGACGAGTGAATACTGAAGAGCTGCAAGTGTTTCTCAGAATCCAAACAAACAAACAAACAAAATGTGTTTTCCAACTTGTTCAAATTTCCTCTCTAAGTACAGGTAAAGGAAAAAAAAAACAAATATATTAAATCAACCAATTTTTAAAAGTGCAATTTACCTTTAAAATAACAAAAATTAACAACAAACCAAAACCCCAACCATTAACCCTAAAGGCAAAATGTGTGGACACTAAAAGTATCACTGTTTTCTGAGGCCCTGCTTTTTACACAGAAGATTGGATTTGTAAAGGCCTGTGGACCTAACACTGCTTACACGGACCTGTAAACACATTTGAAAAGAAATATGACATAAGTCAGCAAATACAGAAAGAAGCCAGCTAGTAAAAAGCTGTCGCTATGATAGGAAGAGGAAGGGTGACAGATATGAGGTGACATGGTCTCTAAGAGGTGGCATGATCTCTAAGAAGGCCAAGCATTCAATTTGTACAGTTTTCTTTCCATGAGATATTGTTTCCTAAGACAGGGTTTTTCCTGTTGTAAAACAGGCTTAATTCTAATTATCCCCAAGATTTCTACTCTTATAAGGACTTCCCACATCATGTTAGACCTTCTGAAATAACTAGACAGAAAAAACAATGTTCCTCCCTTCACACACACACACACACACAGAGAGAGAGAGAGAGAGAGAGAGAGAGAGAGAGAGAGAGAGAGAGAGAGAAGGCAGAGACAGAGAGAGACAGAGACAGAGAGAGACAGAGACAGAGACAGAGACAGAGAGTCCCAGTGTTCTAGAATCCCCAGACACTTCTCTGAAAAGCTGGGTAGAGTTCCTCCACAGGGACATTGGCCCTGGCTTAGTTGGTTCCTCCACAGGGCACCCGGCCCCAGGATGGTTGGTTCCCCCACAGGGACATTGGCCCCCGCGTGGTTGGTTCCCCCACAGGGACATTGGCCCCAGTGTGATTGGTTCCCCCACAGGGACACTGGCCCCCGCGTGGTTGGTTCCCCCACAGGGCACTGGCCCCAGCGTGGTTGGTTCCCCCACAGGGACATTGGCCCCAGCATGGTTGGTTCCCCCATAGAGACCTTGGCCCCAGCATGGTTGGTTCCCCCATAGAGACCTTGGCCCCAGCGTGGATGGTTCTTCCACAGGGCACTGGCGCCAGCACGGTTGGTTCCCCCACAGGGACATTGGTCCCAGCTTGGTGGGCTTGTGTGAGCTTGGGGACTGGATTTACTGATTTGACCAGAAACTCTGTTACTTCTACAGCCTACTTCTACCTCATCTTTACAGCACTCGTGACTCCTATTCTGGGCCCACACATAATATTGGTGACATAATCCAGGCCATCCTTGTGTCTGGCAAGCCTCAAACTCAGACATCTAGTGATGGGAATTGGATAGCACCAGTCTTAACAGAAACCAGGCTATCACAAAACTATGGGCGTGGGTGCAAAGCTAGGGTCCTTTCTGGCTATGCCTGAGGCCAAACTGGGATGCCTGGTTTTAAGAGCAGACTACGTAGGGGAAGAGAAAAGAACACTGTTGAGGAAGCACAAAGAAAGAAACTAACATCAACTCACTCTCCATGAGTACAGAGAAAAAGACAGGACAAACAGAAGATGCGGGAAAATGGTGAAGAGAACCCTCAAAAGATCTAATCTGCCGCAAAATCTAGGCCAATGAAGAAAACCTGCCTCTTCTCAACAGCTGACCTTGCAGAGTAAGGGATGGCAATGTAGACGAGTGGTGCTTCTCCATATCAGCGGCAGCCTGCCAGCCTCGGATCAGCTTAATGGTTACATATTTGCATCATTAGGATGTCCAGTTCAAGACCCGTGGATTAATATTGAATCGGGCTTTCAATTTAGTATTAAAAAAAAAAAACCCTCCCCTACTCCCACCCCTCCCCAGCCCCACAAAGAAAACCCCCTTTTTAAAAACTTTTTAAAAAGAAAAGAAGGCAGCTCAGGGCAATTCACTAAATCTTCCCCAGGACAGGAAGGTGGTGACTACAGTTGAGGATGTGACGGGGCACCCTCGCTGAGATCTGCTTGGTGGCGCATGTCTGCGTGTTAGATGCAGCTCCGTGTGGGGTGGGTGGCTAGGCTTGGGTGTGTTCATAACTGTGTAGTAGGGACTTGGGTGAGCGAATTCAGAAACTCCAAGGGGAGACCGAGTGTGGGGGCCCAAGAGTAAGCCCCAGGAACTGGCTGCCCACAGCAACTATCACAGGCTCTTTAAAAAAAAAAAAAAAATGGAAGGAAGGAAGTCTCAGAATGTCCTCAGGTGTCCCATCCCCCATCCCCATCTGGCCTGCAGGCCTAGGGGCTTTAGCCCAGGCTGGTGATGTTGGCACGGCCACCAGGGGGCGCCACAATGCGCTGAGTGGTGCGGCGGGGAATGTTGTCATCAATCTGAGCACCTAGGGAAAAGATAAAACATGGGTGAGGCTCTTGGGAAATAAAATCATACGGCATGCTCAGGAACACTCCTGAGAGAAGCTGGACCAAGCACCCTCAACCCTACCCCTTTCCCCAAACCTCACTAAAGGTTCAAACTACCGGAAGTACAGTGCACCTCCCTGCAGCCTACGCGTCGTACTTGGTGTAAGTGATCTCTTCCTGGGAATATAAAGTTAGATCCAAGGTTCTAATGAGTACGGTTCTTCTGAGGACCCACGCCTCTCACTCAGGAGGAGCTCAGATGCTCTTGGGTAAAGAATCCTGGATCTGAAGCTCCCAAACCCCAAATGCTCTAAACCATTTCAGTGTTGTCATACGACAAGTAGGAAATACCACAGCTGACCTGATACGACTAACTGTAGTCAAACTTGGCATATTAAAAATACCGCATAAAATCCCCTTCAAGGCTTTGTGTCACGTTTATATGAAACATAGATGGAACTGTGTTTTGTTTTTTAAGATTTCTTTTTTTTAATTTAAAATATATATGAAAGGGGGAGGATTCCTGCACATAACTGCAGTGCCTGAGGAGGCCCACAAGAGGGCACTGGATCTCCAGGAGCTGGAGGGACCAGTGATTGCAAGTCACCTGACATGGTTGCCAGGAACAAACTTGGGTTCCCCCACAAGATCGGAGTTGACTCTGAACTGCTGAGCCATCAGTCCTGTCCACATTTTGTGTTTGAATTTGGGTCTTGGTCGCGAAATATTTAATTATCTACATGACATTTTTCTCATTTTAAAAATGCAAGCTAGCTTCCAATCCCAAGCATTTCTTTCACAAAAGGGACTGGTAAACCTGTGCCATGTATGTGAATAATACGGGGATGCACCTTGTGACTGATCTCATACTTGTGGGACAAAACTAAGGTTGAAGAGCCTGTCTCTCAAACTAAAACACTTTGAAGTGTACTGAAAGTGGGTAATTCCTCATCCATCAAGGGCACATAAGGTATTTTTCTTAATGTATATGAGTATTCTATCTACATGCATGCCTGTACACCGGAAGAGGGCATCAAATCTCATTATAGATTGTTGTGAGCCACCATTTGGGTGCTGGGAATTGAACTCAGGACCTCTGGGAGAGCAGCCACTGCTCTTAACCCCTGAGACATCTCTCTAGCCCCCCATAAGGTATTTTTTTAAAAACCCAGCAGACATGACAAGAAAAAGAAGTCTATGTAATGAATTGTGCTGCTGACAGGCCACAAGAACCTAGATGCCTGTCCAAGCTTAGGAAGCCAGGAGAATTGAAGGCCCTGTCGTAGGCCAGAAGAAAGAGGGAAGGATGTTTCCAAGACAGAAAGTCTACTTTTCTGTCACCAAAAGGATGTCACAGGTTTTACTCCACCCCTGCAGATGGGTCACACGTGTCCAGTGGTTTTGTCCTAGACAACTAACATGAATGTTAACTCAGTAGATCTCACAGCACCCCCCAGGGAGCCACTGGGGTGACTCATTGCACAGGTGAGAACTGAGGTACAGAAGGCCTGAGCAACGCGAGGCTGCTGAGAGCCCAAGCTCCACACGCACCGGCCACAGTACCTCTTTAACAATGGACGTGACAGATCGGAAAATGTCCCTTCAGTCTAAAAAGGGTCGCTCATAGGGTGGGTGTCTCAGCATCACATGGCCCAAGAACTGGTCTAAAGATTCTGAGATCCAGTTCATCATTTACAGATTTATGTCTGGTGGCTGGAGTGTTTCCCAGTGGGGAAAGCATGAGGCTAATGTTATCTTTCATTTTCTGCAGTTGCGGGGCCTAAAGCCCCAGGCTGGCTCTATAGAGCTTGAACCAACCCAGAACCACCCAGCCCTATCCATACCAGACAAGCTGAATCCAGACTGGTGCAGGTTCCGAACAGGTGGTGCCTGCTGCTTTGCAGGGGATGTCTTAGCTGATGAGGCTGGAGTGACGGTCTTGGGTGTCACAGACACCTCGCACACTGGTCCATCATACAGGCCACGAGGGACCCCTCTCAGCTCAGCCAGCTGAAACACACAATCACCCCCACAACCTCTGTCACATTCACAGAGGACAGTCTTCTCTGCACCCACCCAGTGTGATGGAACAGCAGCCAAGACAAGCCAGGGACGCCTGGGGATTAGGCCCACCTTATGGACAGGTACAATAGGCACAGATTTGCAATCAGCCCCTGAAGCTCTAGGCTAAGGCTCTCCCTCCCAAGGTGGGTCCCCAACAATGGGTTACTCTGCCGGTTTCTTACAGTTTTCCCCTATCGGGTCACATCATTTGAACCCTTCAAAAAAGCCTCTGGTCATACTGTGAAGAGGGTCTGATTTTCAAGATCAAAATGTCTTTTAAATCTCCATCTTCTTTAATGCCCCACCTCATTCTCTGTCTGTGTGCTGTTCACCATGTCCTGAACACACTGTTTGATTCCCACATGTCACATTCCGTCTTCCTAGTGTCTCTATCTCCATCCTTTGACTTGAGAAACTAACTCCTACTTAAACTTCAACGGCCAAGTAGATTCTTCCAAAACATCTTCCTCCATGATTCTGCAGTAGCGTTTCTGTCCTCTGGGCCCTTACCCCACACTCGTCATCAAAGCTCTGGCCATCCTTGACTCCTCCACTAGTAGGTTAAGTTTCGGGATGAAAATGCCAAGCTGTCTTTATCCTGGCTGTCCCCCGTTCCCGCTATTCTGACTCACAGTACTTAACAAATATCTGTGGCGTTAAAACTCAACCCATGATGGTTAAAAGTTAACAAAAGCACTCACCCTGCTCCTTGCCTTGATGCGCTTGTACACAAAGTCAGGGAAGGGCTTCCGGGGGATGTAGCGTCCTGAGCCTTCAGTGACGTGAAGCGTGCCATCCTCCAAGACAATCTTGCCCTGGCTGATGACGACCAGCGGGGAACCACGACACTCCATGCCTTCAAAGATGTTGTACTCAAGAGCCTGGGGTTGGGGGAGGACAATCACCATCAGAGCAATCCCTGTCCCTGAACTGGACTGATTCAGGCTGACTGAAGCTCATGACTGAAGCTCACTGGTAAACCCCAGATGGAGCCTGTCCCTACTGGCTCCCCCAAGGGCCACTCACTTTCTGTCTAGAATACGATTCATCTCACTACACCTACAAATCTGAGATAAAAATAAAGGAAAAGATTAATAATATAGGTAGCATGCTCACAGTCATGTGTGTGTGTGTGTGTGTGTGTGTGTGTGTGTGTGTGTGTGTGTATTTGTGTAAACACTTTACAAATTATAAAGACTCTTATTCCAGCTGGGTCTTGTGGGGCAGGCCTATGAACCCAGCTACTCAGGATTCTGGGGCAGTGAGTTCACACACAAGTCGGGGCCCTGCCTGAGCTACAGAGTGTGTTCAAGGCCAGTCTGGGAGATCTAATAGAGTGGAGATGTAGCTCCGTAACAGCGGACTTAGTGGTGAACCCTTGGAATGCACAGGGCCCTGGGTTCAGTCCCCAGTACAACAGAAAGAAGGGAAAAGATAAATGGAAGGGGGAGGAAAGAAAAAACTCCTCCCATTAGCAGAGACTGCGTCCACCAACTCTGCCCTGTGCAGGCAGAATTCCCAAGGCTCCACTCTAAACAAGTTCAAACTGAATTGCGAAATGAGCCGGGTTTTCCCACAGCCTTTCCCAGATTTCCAGTCTATAAGGAGCTATGGCTAAACCACAGTCCTCAACCATATAGACTGGTGACACATAAAAGACAGCTAGCCTTTGAGGGATTGAGGGTTAGTTTCCTAAATGATGTGTTTGGGAGCTCAGTTGCTGTGAGTGAAAACAGTTTGGCGCCCCCTCCTGGGAAACAAGTGGGGTGCTTTCCGGTGCCTTTGTCGAAGCAACAGAAAACAAAAGGCTTTGAGATGACACAGAAGGTTTCATAAGTCAGAGCAGTGTCCACGGTTCTCACAGTTCTGGCTCAGCTCAGGCTGAAGGCCTCCCCAACTCTTTCCACATAACAAATGGGAACAAATGGCTGCAGCTGGAGGTTAACACGTGGCACAGACCAGATGTGCTTCTGGGAAAACTCCAACCAAGAGAAAAACACCAGAGGATCTGAGGGAGGGCAGAGCCACACCAACACCCAGGTCAAAGGCCACCTCTGCTTCTGCAGTGGCTGGAGAATACAGAGAAAGGATACAGTGGCTTAGCAGAGCACACTGCTCTGTCGCACCAGTGACTGCTCTCAGCACTGTGTGGAGACTCCACAGAGAAACGTGGGGTTGCCGTAAATAAAAGCAGAGAGGCATGGCTGCAGGCGAGAGGCTCTACACATGGATTCCAAGATTCTGGGGGACATGTCTCACAGCGGCCCCCTGAGCAGAATGCTTGTCCTTGAAATCAGAGTTGGCTATGCAAGCACAGCAGCCTAGGGGAAGCCAGATTCCCCAGGGGGTACCCAATTACCTGGGGTTGACCAGCACTGAAGAGCCACACACAGCATTCTCAGCTCAAGGCTGTCTGACACACACAGGCAGTGGGATTTAAACCCCAAGCCTGCACAGGTGCTAGCTACTAGTTCAGAATCTCAGGGACCTTCTTCCCTGTCCCCATCCTCAATGTCAAAGCAGAAGCATGGTGGGGTTTTTCACACCACCTCCCCAAGGGCAGACTCACATCTCCTGGATCACATACAAAGAACATGGCAGTCCCCAACTACAGTCTTCATCTTGGGTGCTTTCCTCCATCATGGCAAGCAAACTAAAGATATATTTCACAGTGGGCCATGGTGAGAGAATCGGGTCACACTGAAATGACCTTGGGAAGGCTGTTGTCTAAGATCAAGGTGACGTCTACCTCCCCCCTCATCACTTCCTAATTAATGACCCTCCCACCCCAGACCTGCCATTCCTCAGTGACGTGACCTTAGACACTTCTCTCACACATCCAACCTATGAAAGGGTTGGTGACACAAAAGCACCCAGTCTCCTATCCACTGCTGCTGAGTCCTGCACTTTGCCTCCACAAGCACAAGTCCCTGGTACCTGAGACCATGAACACACACACTGGGGCTAGTGGCCGAAGAAGGAGCTGATGTGAAGGCTTTTGGAGCCATCCCCTCCCCCTGTAAAACATGGCAGGAAGCAGGACAATGACCCTTTAATGCAGTTCCTCCTGTTGTGGTGGTCCCCTGCCATAAAATTATTTTCATTTCTCCTTCATAACTGTAATTTTACTACTGTTATGAATCATAATGTAAGTATCTGATTTTCTGATGGTCTTAGGGGACACTTGTGAAAGGGTCATTTGACTCCACATAGAGGTTGAGCCCCACAGGCTGCGAACCACTGCTCTGAGTGATTTAAAGCTGGCATGTTCAAGGATGGGATTGCAAATCTCCCATCACTCTTTGAGATAGGAGGCTGCGCCTCCACTAGGTGTGGGCATTTTTAACTTCACATGATTTCCCAAAGATTATGGAGCAAGTTGGAATCCCAGGAAATCCTAATGAAGGCACAGCAATAGGGTTATGGATAAGCTAGACTTTCCACACTCAAGCTAGACCTGGAGTCTCTTGTCTGTACCTCACCAGATGAGTGACACCACACAAACACGCTTAGTGCCCGCCCTTGAAGCAGGAGGAGGCAATGAGGTGTGTGGAAGGGCCACCTTTCTTCAAAAACATCAGTCAGGGCAGGGATACTGCCCAAGACAGGTTTAGATAAAAATGCCCGTCAGCAGCAACTGTCTTCCCAAACCTTCATTCCTTCCTGCTCTCTGTCTAGGCAGAGAGGTCCCAATGCCAGGCCAGTCGCCTGTGTCTTTAAAGAACTTGGCAGCCCCTGTCCCCCCTCTGGAGGAGACCCCACTAAAGAGGGACAACACTCTCTCCACCCCACCCAGCTATGGCATTGCACATGCATACGTTGCACAGTCTGGTTGGGGGAAGGATGCCGAAAAAATTAGGGCTTCTAACTCTGGCTCGACCGCAAGATCACTATGTAACATTAGACTGGTCGTGAAGCTCTCTGCACCTCTCGATTATTTATCTTCCCACTCGGGATAATCATACCAGACCCTCTAGAGAAGGTCAAAGGAAAAGGGTGGGAATGCAAAATGATACACACATGCCCAGAAAGGGTCACCCTGAGGATCCCAAGATGGATGATACGTTTAGACTTGGCACTAAGGCTATGCTGAACCAGCAAGGCAAGATCAGCCATAAACATGGAATCCAGCAGCCTCCCCATCAAGCACCCACCATCTCGGTACCCACAGGGGCCAAAGAGGCTGACAGTGAACCCAGCATGCCCCACCCAAACCCTTCTGCCCAAGAGAGAGGACTTAGGCTGGCAGAAGGCCCAAGCCCATCCTGGAAATGCCTGGACCTGCCTACGCGGTTGTGGCACTTGGGGCAAACTGTCATTACAGTTTCAGGCCCACTGAGAGAAACAGCAGGAATTGTGCGATCCCTGTGGTGCCTGCCGGTCACTTAGAACTTTTCTCAAAGATCCACTGTACTCATTAGGAACTCACTTCCATGCCCAGCTCCAAATGGGTCACCTGACACAACGTCTGCACCCAAGGCTCGGGGAATGCATGGAAGAGGGGCCAGAGTGTAAGAGCCAAAGGACCAGGAGGATTGCTATGAGATAGTACTTTCTGGAAGAAAGATTGTAGCCATGAACTCACAACAATAAGGTTGTCTGCCCAAGATCACACAACTCTACTGGATGGGCCAACTTGGATGGAGAAAGGTTCAGAAAGTCCCACCACTAGATAGATGACTGCGAAGGAAGGAAGGAAGGAAGGGTGGATCATTTCCCTTCAGGGATGAGCTTCCTGATAGGTTACCCCAGTCTAAGCAGTTAGCTCTAAATACATATACATACGGGCAACACCAACTGGTTTCTGTATGGCTGGAGTGGGTGTGTGTGTGTGTGTGTGTGTGTGTGTGTGTGTGTGTGTGATTACAGAAGAGGAGGACATGAGTTTGAGAGGGGTGTGTGGCAAGACAAAGACAAAAGGAGCTGGAACAGGGAGAGGAGGCAGTGGAAACAGTATAAATACAGTACTAATGCATGAAAGTGTTTAGAAACAAACTATACACAAAAACAGTTCTTATAAGATGGGAAAAAATAACTTCCAGATTCAAGTGAGCTGGTTTTAGAGAATTACGGATTTGAGGTTTTCATGTTAGAGATGCCCAACTGCCAGCATTTATGCAAACATACGAAAGCCTGTATCGAAATGCCTCTGATTCCAAGCATTCTGGGTAAGCGCTACTAAACCTGTGCTTTCCTTATCTGCCTTCTCGTGGAACAAGTGGACAGAATCCCATTAAAAGATGGTTCTAGGGACTGGAGAGTTAAATCGGAGGTTAAGAGCACTTGCTGTTATCGCAAGAGAACCAAAGTTCAGTTCCCAGCACCCACACTGGGTAAGTCCAGTTCCAGGGATCTGATGCCCTCTTCTGGCCTCTATAGGCACTGCAAGCGTGTAGTACACATACACATTTTCAGAAGTGCACAATTATGCCTCCCTGCCCCACCCCCCCCACACACACACACAAACCCCCTGGATGAATCTGTACTGTTTGGCTATTTTTAAAGAGTCCATGTTATTTTGTAGCTCAGTGTTGTAAGAACTGTCTCTTGCTCATATGGCTAAAGCTAAATAACATCAAGATTAGGAGAAAATTAGATTTGAGTAAGGTGCTGGCATGGAATGCTTTACCTTGCTTGGTGGCTTATATTTGTAATCTCAGCAATAGGGAGGCTGAGGCAGGAGGATAGTGAGTCTGAGGTCAGCCTAGTATAGATATCATGAGACCTTGTCTCCAAAAACAGAAAATAAACATTCTGTCCAAGGTTCTTCCCTTATCCCCTTGGTGTTCTGTAGATTTAATGCTATCTGAGGAGCTACTGGGATCTGACACCTCAGCTCTCCACTCATTAAATTCACAAACTCATAAAACACCCAAACCTCACAGAACCCCTGGTTCTCAGTCAAAATGCCACAACGCATTCCCCAAATTCCTCAGTTCTTAAACTGTGACCCAATGCCTGGATTATTTCTTCTCTGGAAGGAGAAGGCAAATTCCTTTAGGACAAGAAGTATAGCTATCAATTCAACCTATGGCCTGAGAGAAGGGTGACAAGAAAATGGATATGCCCAGTGGCCACCTCAGAAGTGGATATTTGACAGCTCTAGCTATGTCCCTTTCAGTAAGCCCACCACAAGAGGTACTGTCCAAACCATGGCAATGGAATGGCACCTGGCTTCTAGAAGTTTCTGGAGTTCAATGTCAATCTAGAGACTCTGAAGGTCTAAGGACAGGGGCCATTACCTCAAAACATGGCCAAGAGTTGCAGTCTCATGAACCTCAATTAAAAAAGTGAGAGTGTTGGTCTGGTCCTTGGAAGACTGAAGTTACAGTTTCCTACAGAATCCCGGGACTGGCCCCATCTCTTGGTACTTGTAGCACAAATGTCTACCCACGATGAGCAATCCTTACACTGTTGTGCGTCTTGGCAGAGATGGTCTTCACACTATCAGGGTCCCAGATGACCAAGTCTGCATCAGATCCCACTGCGATGCGACCTTTTCGGGGGTAAAGGTTAAAGACTTTGGCTGCGTTGGTGCTGGTCACAGCCACAAACTGGTTCTCATCCATCTTCCCAGTGACCTGTGGAACACAGAAAAACACATGTTGATATGCAATGCATTCTGGGATATCCCTTTGACAAAGGGTAAGCAGAGGTCTGGGGCTTCTAGTCTATGAGTCTCAGGCCTAGCTTTCTGAGACATATAGTAAGGGCCAATCATTGCCTGAAGCCCTTCCCTTCCAAACTTGCTCTAAATACAGGAGAACAAGGAAATGAGTGTGCATTAAGAGAAAGAAAAATTTTCAAATGGCCAAAAGGCATATTTAAAAAAATCATTCCAATCAGCAAGGAAATTGAATATCAAGTAAGAAAGACAAAATTTACCCAAATTACTTGTCCTCTAGGCTTCTGCTCTTAAAATCCACTGAGGAGTGCCATACACCATGTCAAATGTCAGGATCTTTGCAGAAGGGATTTTAACAATACTATTTACAGTCTTTAACAGACTCCCTTCGACCTGGCGATGTTACTTCTAGAAACTTCCATGCAAGCATAAAGAGAGATGGCTCAGTGGTTAAGAGCACTGACTGCTCTTCCAGATGACCTGGGTTCAATTCCCAGCACCCACATGGCAGCTCACAACTGTCTGTAGTTCCAGTTCTAGGGGATCTGACACCCTCACACAGACATGTAGGCAGGAAAAACACCAACATATATAAAATAAAAATAAATAACAAAAAAATATAAAGATGTACCCAAGGATATATCTACATGGATACTCATCTCAGTTTAAAAAAATAGAAACACACAAGTTTTTAATCAAAGAATTATAGAAAAATGACTCTCTGGTGTTAGGAGAAAAGAAAACCATCTACTATTTAAAAGCATCAAGCTTTTCACTGGGTGTGGTGGCCACGCCTTTCATCCCAGCACTGGGGAGGCAGAGGAAGGTGGATGGATCCCAATGAGGTGGAGGCCTGCCTGGTCTACATTTCTAGTTTTAGGCCAATCAAGGCCACACAGTGAGAACCTGTCTCAGAGAAACAAACAAGAAGACTAAAAAATAAGTTTCTTGTTTCTCACGTGGGTTTAAGAATGATGACAGTTTCATGGCATATTTAGAATCCTTTTAACGGGCCTATGAGGTAGTATGTGTGACGCTAGTGGTACCTGAAAGCTGGCACACACTGTGCACACATGTGCTGGCAAAAATGAAGACATTCACAAAATGTTTGCTGTGGCAAACCTCTGACACAAGACGATTTTTACTCACGTAATCTAAAGAACTCACTAAGAATCAGAACATCTGTTACTATATTTTAAAACTTTAAAGTAAAAAAGCTTCCCAACTCCCAAGGTCAGTATCTGCCCAAAACAGATCAAACAGAAGCCCGTGGTGGGTGCAAATACTGAGCCCTAGAGCTCTCCAACATACTCCAAGAAGTAGAGTCCAAGATTGTTGACTGAGAAGATCACCAGAGACTGAGGAAGCTATTTCCTCATTAAGATAGGACTTCTGTGTAATATTTAGAAGGAAATGAGCTATTAGGAATTGTCTTGGAGAAATACATTTCACAATGTTTGTGTTTCTAGAATGTTCTCAACCGGCCAACATTAGCCCCACACCCAAGAAGACAGGAGCATGCCTGGGCCAGCCATGAAGGAAGCCATCAAGCCTTACCACAGCTTTGTCCCAGATGACAGACATTCGCTCCTCTGTGCCATTGGTACCCTCAGGAATCAAGGTGAAGTTGTCCTTCCCCACAGCCTTCTGAGCAGTGTTGAAGGTACAGTGGGCACTGCCAGTGACCTGGAGATCTCCACTGGAAGGAAACACATGACATGAGGCTACCTTACAGTGCAAGGTACCTCAATCTGTCTGGTGAGATATTTCATAAGTAATGTCCCACCAACCATGCTGGCATCCTTCTGAAACCTCCTTCAGATCCTTTAGTTGGCTGTCAGAATGACCCAGGTTCCTATTAGGAATTCCCACCCAAGATAGTGACACAATAATTCCTTGTTCTCTCTTATTAACTAACCCCAACTTTAGTCCTGCTACCATGTTGTCACCTACCAGGTCATTTTGGTCTGAAGAGAGCTAGAGTGTAGATGTGAACAAGTCACCAGTACTCACCAGGACAGCAAGGAGTTGAGAAAGTCTGGAGTGGTTGGGTCGGGGCTCAGGGGTGGGGAGGTGACAAAAGCAGCAGCCTTGGCCCAGTTCTTACTCCAATAATGAGAGCCATCAGTCCCCAAGCTGGCAGTGATGGGCTCACCATACACCACAGTTCCTGAGAAACAGAACACAAGTGGTTCAGTCTGACACCCCAAGAACAAGAGACCACTCTTAGCAGACTGTAGAATGCTCTCGGTGCTCCCTCCCTGGGGATACAGCCTCCTTCCACAGGTGATGACACCATGCCAGTACCCTAGGCAGCCAAGGCCACCCAGTTAGCACACACTAAGATGTCCTGCTCTGTGGACTCAGCCCTCTCTCCTGAGGCAACCCTAAATACTATATATGTTACATACCACTGATCTCCAGCTCAGATGGTTTCTAACACCCAGGCCTCAGAACCACCCAGAATCTTCTTTTTTGGATGCTGAGTGGATTTAACCTTACAACACAGAAGTTCTCCTCCTTGCTCACCCCTGACAGCCCTCTCCCCCATACCCTTTACCATGTCTAATTCCAGCTATAGAGCTGACGTCACAAATGAAACCACAAGGCTGAGGGATCAGAGAGCAAATAGTGTCAGAATCTTCTGAGATGCTTCGATACCTAAGTGGCCACATGAGGAGAATCCTCAATGGTATCCATCAGAGCCACAGCCCACTTCATGAGAATCTACAGTTAGGCCCCTGGAGTTTCAGAGTCTCTAGAAGCCTGGCCTAACTTCACACAATATCCAAAAAAGAATGTCAGCTCCCTTGATGTCCAAATGGTGTCTTCTCTGTCCTTCAGAAAAGGCCAGACAACTAGTGCACCTTACTCTGCCTAATGAGTGTCCTTGCATGTCTTAAATACCTTCTTCCCTTGGCAGGCTTCATCCCTTTTCCTAGCCCATTCCAATAGATTTTAGGTTTGTGCTTGTTTCCTCAGCTCCACCCATGCTCTGTGTGTAGACACTCCATCTTTACAGAACACGCTCCGAACACTATTCTCTTTCATACAATCCTTATGTCCTATCTTCTAAGGACCTCTTATCATGATTTATTATTTATTTATTGCCTATCTGAGTCTGGCCTTGAACCCACTGAGTATGTGGCCAGAGGATGACCTTGAACTTCTTATCGTCCTGTCTGGACTCTGGAGAGCTGAGATTACAGCCTCCCCTTTAATGGCTCAGGCACCACCACTCCCCTAAGCATTGCATCTACACCCAAATAATCACCTGCTTTCAACCGTTAGACTCTTGACAGTGACACCTCATGATCATTTTTCTGCCTGTACACTGTAGGTACTCAACATACCTAATGACTATTTTTCTGCCTGCACACAGTAGGTACTTAACGAATGTGTGTCGAGCCAGCTCGGTGTTCTAGTGTTTTACTAATTCAAGGCCCGAACGCTGGAACTTGCTCTCAGGTTACCCAGATCCATCATCTGCCTCTCCTCTCATCACCCAGCCAAGCTTCTTTCCTCCAAACACATGGCCCTCAATGCCAAACCCTTCTCAGTCAGGAATGTGTCTCCCTTCCTCTTCATGGTCCTTGCAGAGGCTTATCACTGGATAATATTCCACAACACCCTCTTTGCCCAGACACTCAAAACTGGCTCCAGGGAGCTGCCCCCTCCTGTCTCAGGAATGTCACAAAGAAGTGGCTGTTTAGTTAGAGGGTGCTGGGAGGCCACAAGCACAGCTGCCTCCCATCCACACTCAGTAACAGTCTCCAGGCAGGAGAGAGGCTTCTAGAACTGAGGGCAAGCATGCCCAGAAGGAGACCCCTGGAAAGAAAGGGCCAGGAAAGGAACCCAACATTCCTGACCTTCAGGAAGCTCTCCCAGTAGAACACTGGACACATACCCCCAAATGGAAAAAGACCTCAGAAAGCCAAGGCCAGCTGTTAACTGTCCCTTAGGCCCCCTGTGTAGTGCAGTGGCTGAGCAGGGGCAGCAGTGGCTTTTGCAGGAACTTCAACAGATCTGATGAAACCCCAATCCAGTCAGGTCTGTGAGCCCTGATGTCCACTGCACAACTCCACACAAACAACCCACAGCCCTCAGGGTACACAGGCTTTGTCATCATAAAAATAAAATCAGAACAGCTCAGCTGTCTGTGAAATCCACATTCCCAGGATGCCCTGGAATTTGCCATCCTCTGCCCTGTTACTGAGTCTGCACCTCCACCCTGGCTTTGGAAATGTGACTGGGGGAGGGCGGTCCTAATAACAGATGGTATGTTCATCTAAGGACGGATTGGAAGTGGTGCTGCTTGAGAAGGGGCTGGGTCCCCTGCCCTCTGCTACTCGAGCATAAGCCTTATATCTCAGAGAACTCAGCCCCTGGAAATCCCAGGATGGCTCAGAGCTCCCAGATCACTGGGGACACATAATTTCTTCCTGAGACCATCACAGAGTGAGGACTCCTGGCCAACCCAAGATGGAGTCATGCAGAGACCTGGGGAGAGGGTTCCCAGAATTTTTAAATTTTTTTCTTATTTATGCGTATGTATGTGTGCACTTGTGTGTGTATATGCAGACATGAGTGTGTGTGTCAGCAGAGGCTAGAAGAAAGCCTTAGATCCCCATGAGGCGGAGTTACAAGTGTGGGTCCTGGGAGTCCAGAACTGAACTGTCTGGTCACCATGTCTTAACTGATGGGCCATGGCTCCAGCTCCTGCTTTGCTCCAATCAAACCTCCTGAGGGAGTCAAAGGTCCTTACCTGCCTTTATTTCTATCTTTTAGCTCCACTGGCCCCACACAGAGCCCCATCTCAGTGGCTCAGAGCCTTGCCATCGACTCCTCTCCCTGCCCTATAAACCCTGTGCTGGAGGAAGCCATGGACTGGCCTCCAGAGCTCAGCCAGACCACAGACACCAGTGAGCTGCTGTGTGCCGGCACTCATTACCACCAAGAATAATAACCCATGAACAGCTTAATTGGCCTTTTTTATGCTTCTCTAAATACACTGCTGAAGCTTTCTTGGCAGCTGTTGTAGTTTCATGATTCTCTTCTGCAGGGAAAGTCTAAACTGAAGGATGTGACCCTAAGCCAGGCTCGGGAAGGCGCAGTAGTCAGGCCAGGAATGCAGGCGACGGGTGGGTGATGTTTATTCACAACCAGCCCCGGGCTGAGCACATTCATGAAGAATAACTGCAAGCTGGGGTTTGAAAAGGTTTGACAGCTCCAGGCTCCAACAGTTTGTCATTTCCCATGAAGGAGAAGCAGGACAAATCCAAAGCAAGAACAACGGAAAACCACGTGTAGGGAGCTTAAAGCTCAGTCACAGAAGCCCAGGGAAATGAGACATGGTGGAAAGACAGACAGATCCACACGACTCTACATTTCTCTTGGAGTGCTCAGGCTGCAGCCCCAACTGCCTGTGGGCTATGCAATGAGATGCTGATAGCAAGGATGGTTCAGCTCTAAAGCAACCAAGCGTGTGTGTGTGTGTGTGTGTGTGTGTGTGTGTGTGTGTGTGTGTGTGTGTGTGTGTGTGTGTGTGTGTGTGTGTGTGTGGGTGGGGTTGTGTGTGTGTGTGTGTGTGTGTATGTGTGTGTGTGTGTGTTGTAGGAGATGCACATGGGTTAGGGAGTGGCACACATAGAAGACACTGTATTTCATTAGCCTGGAGCTCTCTAAGTAAGCTAGCCTGGCTGGCCAATGAATCCCAGAGATCTGCCTCCCTAACACCTGGACCACAGACATGCACCACCACACCCATTTTCTTTACATGGATTCAGGGAGACAAATCCAGGTCCCTGTGCTTATTTGCTGACCCTATCCCCCAACCCTGTTTTTTGTTTTGTTTTGTTTTTTTTTGGTGGGGGGTCAGTACCATACCAATATATAGGCCAGGCTAACCTTAAAGTAACAGTCCTACTTGTGCCTCTTTTAGTTTAGCCTAAAAAATTATTCCTCATAGTCTTACGATCACAGACTTCTCATGATATGAATCCCTATTGCTGGGATCATAGGCATATTACCATCCCTTGGGACAATAAGCAAAATTTTCAGGATAAGTTTTCTGAAGTTCCTAGAATTGATTCTCTAATCTGAGGTAATTAAGGGGCACTAATGATTATTCTTATAGTAAAGAAAACACATGTACTCCATGCCACAATGGCGTGATGAAATGCACAAAACACCACTGGGGGTCCTAAGTCAAATCCTTCTACAAGGCAAGGCTGAGATGTTATATTTGATGCCATAGATCATTTTATAAAGTTAACAGACAGAATGACACTGCTAGTTGCCTCTAATGGTGCTGGACAAAAAAAAGAATGAATTTATGGATTCAAATTCCCAGGTAAGGAGCCACTCTTCTCTCTACCCTGAAAGCCCACATATCTTACAGATGCAGAGCACAGGTGGCTGAGAGTCAAACCCAGGACCTTCTCCTACTTGGCTGAAATTACAATGCAATCTGAATTCCCTGCCTCCGAAAGGAAATGCTTCTGTCTCCACACAGCCTTCAGATGTGAACGGCACTATCATCCATCCCCTGCATCTCCAGCCTGCTGGCCTTGTCTGATGATTTCACACTGCAGCTTCACTATGGCCTGAGCCAATGCCTTGAGACAAATCCACCTCTGTCTTCCTGCTCCCTCCCCCATCCTCCAGTGGGATGTTTCTCTGGATAAGAGACTCTGCTAGGAGTCTGTGACATTCACAATCCAACCCACCTGCCACCCTCAATCTCAAGTCCAGTTCAAGATTACCATGTGGTAAATCAGTTTAACCCTAAGGACCCATCCCCAAGGTGAAGTCGTCTTCATCATTCACATGACCAGAGACTTTCATGATGCAGCCTTCTCTGTTGGCCCATAGGTCAAGAGAAGTCTTGTCTTGGATTTAGTGTCCCTCAACAGCCATGACTATTTGAATGTGTCTGTCCCTTGGTTCTCAGGATGGATAAGGAAGGGAAAGAAGGGTGCCCATGGGGTGACATCAGAAGGTTCTGTCCAAAAGTTACCATTCCCTCAGGAAGGTATCTGCAGCCACCCAGGGATCTCCACATGAACAAAAGGCAGCCAGAAGGAGAAGTCCCACCCTGGACACTTAGAACAACTGCTTCTCCTCACAAACTGGATGACTGGGAACAACATGTTCAGTTTCTGCATTTCGATTTCTCTTATGTGACATGAGCTGATTGAATGGACCACTGTCTAAATTCTTCTTAAGAATGAAACCCAAGCCAGGACCTGATGGTACAGCTATAATCCCAGCTACTGGGGCAGAAGGATTGCAAGCTCATGACCAGCCTGAGCAATACAGTGAGACCTTGCCCCCAAATACAAAGTAAGATGAGGTACCATGGTAGAGCTCAGAGAAAGAACACTTGTCCAACATGCGCAAGGCCATAGGTTCAAATCCCAGGGATGCATAAAAATAAAATAGAAAGTGAAAAAGACAAGAAAAAAATTAAAATGTGGATAATGTATTCCAGTCCTGGTGTGTTTCATTTCTCTCTCTGCACAGTGAGGTTGGTAAAGGGGTGTCCTGATACATGGCACAGAATACCGGTGGCCACAGGTCACTCAGAAAAGGCAGGCTGCCATTGTGCTGCATGTAGCTGGCATGCAGCTATAGCCCTCGCTGGCATTCCATCCCATAATCTCATATTCCTCTCATTTCTCTATTTGCCCTAACATCTCCCACCTTGGACATAGGAGCAGAGGGTCTGTGGGTAGGGAGGTTTATGGAACATGGAGAGAAGGACCTGTTAATGTGTGCTGAGATTACCTGTTGTTCCGAGTCCTTCCCATACCCTAAACCTCACAGGCTCTCTATCCTGTACTCTAGTCCTGCCTGGTCAAAACAGCACTGCCCACTCCCCTCATAACTTTCTGCTCCTGCCTCACCCTCCCTCCAAGGGCAGATGCTTGGGGTCAGGACCACTTTTGGCTCCTGGCACTGAGGTCTGAAGTGTCACATGGGGAAAGCACACAAACATCTTCATCTTGGCTTGTTGAACACATTCCAAGTTAAACCAGCATTCCATCCCTCAGTGGCAAGGGTGAGTGGTTACTGGACACATCCATACTCTCATTATCTCCTTTAAACACAAGCATCCCTCTGTGAGAAGAGTTGCTATCATGGCTGTCCCTTTGCAAGTGAGAAAGCAACCTAGAGATGATATATAAGCCACATGGCTGAAGCATCATAAAGTAGGGTCTGATCCTGAACAGTGTTATTGATCCCAGGGAACGAACCTTAACACAGCCTGCTACTGTTTCCTTCTTGGTTGCTCAAGAATACTTCTTTCTTATTACCCAGGCCTATGCTAAGGGCTAGGCTCCAGTCTCCACCTGAACTAAGCCCCAACCCAGAAGGACCCCAAGAATTTCCTCTACTAAAACAACCCCCAAGAGGAAAAGTGAGTTGCTCAAACATTAACATGGAGATTTGGAGCCTGAAGTTAAATGCCCAGTCATCAAGCCCAGCTCCACTCTGCCAAGTTGAGTCTATGCTGTTTTACACTTTGGACAGGAAGGACACAACACATGTCTGCCTTGCCTTATTCCTTGTTATCATATGGGCGCAGAATGACCAGTGCAGAATACACAAAATTAGCTGTCCACCACGTTTCCCCTTCTCAGACACTGTACCCATGCTACATGGAAGCAGCGGCACCAAGAAGGGTATTTGGTGTTGAGGCTGAACACCCAGCCACTTTACAAGGGTGTCTGGGTGATAAAGGTCCACGGATTCAGTAACCACCTACAGAGTCTCCTGAAAAATTAACTCAAGGCCAATACTGACCAAATTCTGGGAGCTTTTCTCAACAGGGAATAGTGGTGCACACCTGTAATTCCAGCACTCAGGAGGTGGAGGCCAGGAGGATCAGAAAGTCATGGTCACCCAATGCTACACAGTGAGTTCCAGGCCAGTCTGGACGACATGAGCCCACGTCTGAAAATACCAAAATGAAACAACAACAACAACTACTACTACTACTACTACTACTACTACTACTACTACTACTACTATTACTACTATTACTATTACTACTATTACTAAATAAAAGGCAATTCCTTCAAACAGCCAGGAGAGGGCAGGCTCTCAAAAATTCATAAGCCTAGCAACTGGCCAAATTGGGCCCCAGAAATCACTGTGTTGGTCTGGAAGCCATTTGGGGGACAAGCTAAATGAGTAGCCATGAACGATTTCTTCTGGAGCTTGTACCAAGTCACCAACCAGTGAAAACACCCCACAGCCCTTATTGATCCATGTGGATCACACAGAGAAGTAGGAATAGCTGTCTAGGCCAAACTAGATAGAGAGAGACAGGAGGGAGGGGAGCACCAGAGAGGAGGGGGAAAGCAGATAAATGAGGATACACAAGGAAAGATACACAAGAAGGTTTCCAAGACAAGAAGGAAGATAGGAATCCCTTGGCAATGTTCACTTCAGATCAGGCAAAGTTTGCCATCCAAGTCGGTGCTCTGCTTTTCAGCTCTATTTGCTGAGTTAACTCCTAAACAGAAAGCATGAAGTATGATTAGCCAAGCTCGTATAGCTCAGCAGGTGACAATGGAGCTGCTTATTCATAATGTATAAGGTCTCCGTGGAACATCCCTGAGGGAAAGTGCTGGAAACTACACTTAGTGAATTAGTTTCCAGGGCTCGGCTCAGGAGAGCCAGCTTCAGGCAGAAGGCACCCACAGTATACGGGCAGGGAGGAACTTTCGGTGAGTGAACCGTGTCCTGCACAAGGCTCCTTCTGTCCTCCAGTAGAAATCCCCACCCAAGATGGAGGGAAGACACTTTGCACAATAGCATTTCCCAGAGGGGTTCTATAGCCAGTGAAAAGTGATGTAACCTATGTGTTTAAGTAGTTTGTTTACACAGAATCATACTGAAAATTCAACTTATAGAGAGGGCCTGCCCACATGGCCTTGGCTTTAAATAGATACAAACAAGGTCACAGACATGGAACAAAGGGAGGAAACTAGAGCTCTCTGCTCTGTTGGGCTGCAATTAGGTTAATGCTGGAACATGATAAAAGTGGCCCAGTTGGCATGAGGGTCGGAAAAAGAGGCGCCTCAGTGAGTAGGCTCCTTCCTTCCACCTGCCCACAGTTTGTCCAAAAGGCCCACATGGCTCACCCTTCTTCCGTGCCTGGGCGATGACGTCAGCCGCACTCTTGCTCATCACTTTGGTGACATACAGGGGGCAGTTGGTCTGATTGGCAATGGTGATGGAGCGGTTAACAGCTTCAGCCTCGACCTATGGGAGGGCAGACAAGCATGAAAACCCGGGCCACCCTCAGGCTCATCTTTGTCCTCATCCACCAACAGAGACAGATGGATCCCCCAAGATTCTTTCCCAAGTGGCACCCAATACATAGATCCTCGGGCCCCACCTAGACCCACACTAGTAACTCTGGAACAGAACCTAGCCAAGTGGGTTGTAACCACCATGTGTGATCATTGGCAGGAAAGAAGACATTCTGAAGAGATACTTGTGTCACTCCCTTTAGTTATCAAACCACTGAAACAATGGCCCCTAAGAAATTAGAATTTCCTGAGGAGAATTTCATGATGGAGAAGGAAATGACTGAAGCTGGGTGCCTGCCAGAAGAGGACTTGTCTCCAGGAAAGACAATTCATTCAGTTCTGGCCTGACAGAACACCTTTCAGGACAGCCACAGCCAAGACAACGATGGGTGGGAGGGACCACGCCATGATCTGGGCTGCCTGGCTATGCACACTTCTTGCCTTCTATTTAAAAGCTGTCATCACTTAATTCTTTTTAGCTATGTGTCAGTCTCTGTGTGGGTCTATGCACATGAGTCTGGTGCCCATGGAGACCAGGGGCTTTGGATCTATCCAAAGCCCAGGCAGTTGTGAGCTGCCTGACGTGTGTGCTGAGACCCAAATTCAGGTCCTTTGCGCCAAATTCAGGTCTTCTGCACTCTTGGCTGCTGAGCCGTATCTCCAGGTCATTGAAGTTCCAGGCTGGCCAGGAACTCGTGATCCTGCCTCCTCGACTCTTCATCATAGCCCATCAAGTGTGCCACCACAATCAGCAGCCTGCTGTTTAAACCTAAACTTTGTGTCAGGCCTCTGAAGACCGGTTTAAGTATCTCTCTGTTCCTCTTCCTAATGTGACTGACTACACTAAACCATCTCCTTTCTCTACTGTTTGCCAATGGCTTATTTCTCTAATTCGCCTATAGAGGATGAATAGTCAAGCCAAACTTGTCAGGGCTGCCAGCGCCCAGGCGTTGTCCCTAACCCTGGTAACAATTTCATTTGCTCACGTTTGACAAGCACCATACATTCACAGACCCTGACTGACCTCAATGTGGCTATTCATTCTACTCTCAAGGTCCTGAGTGAGGACATTCAATGTTTGTGACTCTGGAGCTGAGTCTGCCAGATACTTGTGAGCCCAGCCAGCCTCACCCACAAAACAAAACAAGCTTCACAGGGCTTCGGAGTGAAGTAGGCAGTAGCATGTTCACCCAGAGCGTGACTGGTTAGTCACAGCCTGGTACCACCTCCAGCACAGATGATAACCACACAAATCAACCATCTGGCTCTTTATATCCGATCCTCAGGGAATGGAATTTCAGATCCCATGTCATGACTGCTGAACACCCAACCAGGAAAGTCACCTTGTATGGAGGTCCATGTTATGTACAGCAATGTGTGTTCACCACAAAAGACAAAACCTACTCAAAGCAGATTCCAAAAGACCACTACCAAATCCTAAGGTGTCGCTGAGGTGTAAACTCTAGTAAGTGAGAAGGGGGTGAGGAGTGGTGGTCTTATTTTTTCTCTACCCACCATGCCCCACTCCTAACATCCTCAAAGCACAGCTGGTACCCACTAGATGCTCAAAACTCATTGCTGCACAAACAAATGGCTTCATCTTACTAATGTCACTTTAAAAGCCAGCCTGTCACTTCTCACAGGAAAGAGCTGCACTCTTCAATGAGTTGTCTTGGCTAGTCCTGCTTCCATGGGAGCATGGCAAGGCTCTGGTCTGACACTGCTCTAAGTGCTCATTCCAGCAAGGGAGACCAAGCCTCACTCACACTCAGCTTCTGGGTATCAACTATGTGAAGAGAGTCTACAAATCTACAGGAAAGCAAACGCTTGCTTCAAAAACACTCCCCAAACACTCAGATGTTTCCCATTCCAGGGATGGCTGAAGGGAGCCTCCCTCTTGCTCCCTGGCCTCCTCCCCCTCCCTGGAGCCTCCTGCTGGGCTGCCAGCTCAGAAGTCTGTAGTGTGAAGTGTGAATGAAAGGGACTCAAAGATGCTCAACACTTCACAGGGATGCCAGAAACAGCCCTATTGATGTCCCAGCACAGACCCTTCACAAAGGGTCACACACACTATAAATAATGACTGGAGCTCCAGGCCTGCCCTCAGTAAAACAGGGGTGTGCAATAGCTCTAATTAAAAGGCCAAATTGGACCGGCTTTCACTAAAACTAGTGAAGAAAAATCCTGGTCCCAGGGATCTGTCTGGATTTGCATACACACTGTGAATGGAATTTAGACTCCATCTGGCCCCATAGAGTGGCCTAAAATTGGAGAGAGGCCAAACTAAAATGCTAGCTCTCTGGATGAAGAGGGTATTTAAACCTCCTCACTCTCCATCGTCCAATCAGAACACTCCAGTCGCTGATCTGCAGCAGATACTGTTGTATGTGCACTGAGGCCTGACAAAAATCCCCTTAAATCTTGTGGAAAGGATATAACCGCTTAAAATGAAACCTCTTCTCATCAAGGAGATCTCGGATATCTGGAAGGTTATCTATGTGATTTCGTAGATAAAGCAGCACGAACACCACGGTGAAATGAAGTATCCAGAGACCCATAGCAGAGTCTAGATAGGCATTCTCTGGACAGCACCTCCCACCTTGGCAGCCTACACAACTCAGTCACATATCCTGAGGTCTAGCTGGGACGGTCACTCTGTGATGGCTTCACTGTACACATCCGAGTGTCTACTTTCTTCACAGGCCCCAGATTCTGACAGCTATCCCTTGCTGGGAGCCAGTCACATCCTAGCCTATATAAATATTTCCTGTCTGCCTCTCTGTCACCAGCTCGTTGACATTCCCTCTCAGAAAGGACCATGCCCCTCTCAGCTCACTGCCACACAGGGCCAGGCACTGTTGTGATCAGAATACATGCTGCTCACTCTGTACCTACCACCTCAGACAGGCGATCCCTAGAGTCCTACATTCTTACCAGTTTCCCCTGTTGCATCTTCTTAGCTAAAAGCCAGGGGAAATCCTACTGAGCTGCCCACATGGCAGGCTGCAAAGAGAAGCATGCAGTACCAGGAAGGCATTCTGAGAAGCTCAAATGCAAGCTGGCCATCATGGCACTGGTGAGGCAGAGATCCTGACACCACAGAAAAGTTAAGTCATTGTTTAATGGTGTGTCCTATGTGCTGGCGGTTTCTTCCTGAGTGGGCTGTACTGCAAGCCCACTCAGAATGGCTCCATGTTTGATTCTCTGTGCTGTGTTGTCACCTCAGTTTAACACACAACAGACTGAGCTTGGCAATCTGAACTGTCATCAGTCTGAAGGAACATCAAGAGGGAAGGGCCTGGAATCCTAACTCTATTCTGACAGACCACCCCCACCCCCCTTCTTCTAAAGTCCCTACATCTGGCTTCACCTCACAGGACTGTCGCGGGGTGAAACTACTCAGGGCATTATCAAGCTCAGAGGCTGGCATAAGTTCGCACCTCCAAAACAGCTGGAAGACCTACTCCCACCATGGTATGCTCTCAGCCCTGCTGGCCCTCGGGGGATGTTTGTAACTGGCCCCCGGCACTTTGCAATTCTATACGGCAATGGCCAAAAAGAAGCCCCCTATGCTGAGTTACATATAAACAAACGGTGCTCCCTGATAGCCATCTCCTTCTGGTAGACTCATGGGCATCCTTCCTGTTTCCGTGCTTTGTTCTGGCAAGCTCTGGGATCTGGTGACCCCACTTACCAAACATCCCCCTCTGATCTGTTTCTGGAAGGCACACTTTAAATATTGAGCCTCCATCCGGCCAGGTCCCTGAAGGTCTCCTCTTAACCTCTAACACATCTTACAATCCAGAATGTTCCTTGTAGAACTCCCCATCATCCTCTTCCCTCAGAGTTGTCAGACGGCATTAGACTGACCTTTACCCTTACTGAAGGACTAGACTCTGTGTGGTGGTTTGAGAAGAAAAAAAGGACCCAAAGGGAGTGAGTGCCACTATTTGGAGGTGCAGCCTTGGAGGAAGTGTGCCACTTGGGGGTGGGCTTTGAAGCCTCTTTTGCTCAAGCTTCCCTCTGTGTGACTTTTAGTCGACTTCCTGTTGCCTGGATGATGTAGCACTCTCAGCTCCAGCTCCATATCTGCCTGCAACGCCACCATGCTCCCTGTCATGATGACAATGGACTGAACCTCTGAAACTGTAAGTGAGCCACCACAATTAAACGTCTTCTTTATAAGAGTCGCTGTGGCCATGGTGTCTCTTCACGGCAATGAAAACACTAAACTCACACACTCTGTAAAGTACTGTAAGGTGAAAACTCTAGTAGGGAAAACTCCCATTTCCTACAACATGATGCCTGCAGCCTCTGACTTACAAGTCCCACGGTCCAGTGTGGTAATTTTGTGCTTCACAGCATGGGCTAGTCCCGCTCACAGTCTTCAATGGTTCTGTCCACTAGGCCCCACCGAGTGCTGCAGTAGGTGAAGTCTCCTCGTGTGTGTTTAAGAGATGTAAAAGAGCTTTGCCATTCCATCCTAAGTTTGGGGGCCTGGTGGTATTGCTAGTGGGTATGCGCATGCGCGCACATGCACACACGTTTCTTGGAAAGACCAGTGTGCAGCCAAAAAGCCCCACTTTCAACAGGTACTGGAGGAGGGGGGCGGGGTGTAAAAGACATCACGTCACACATCCCACTCCCAGGTGTTCACCTCCTCTGGTCGGCTCAGCACATGTCCCTCAGGGCCTGTGATGCCCAGATCCAGGATCCTCTGCTGTTCCTGTAATGTGCAAAAAAAAAAAAAAAAGCCAAGTGGTCAGGGGACATGGATCTCAGGTGGCTGATGGCTGGCTAGAGACCTGGGCAAAAAGTAGTCCAGCGGGAAGTATAGTGGGCCCTGTTAGATATACAGTGTCACCCCAGACCTCAGAAACAGAAGGGGTCTCGACACTAATCCCAGTCCCACTTAAACAGGACAGATCCACTAGAGCTGTGGTTCTCAACCTGTGGGTCTGGACCCCTTTGGGGGGTCACTGGATATCCTGCATATCAGATATTTACATTACGATTCATAACAGTAGCAAAATTACAGTTATAAAGTAGCAATGAAATAATTTTACGGTTGGGGTCAGCACAACATGAGGGTCACAGCATTAGGAAGATAGAGAACTTTCCCTGGGAAAGCTGAAAATAGAGGCCCTCCTGGCCCACAGCGTAGTATGCAATGATGCCCAAGTGTGAGCAGGGTGTTTGACTCCATCCAGAACAGCTACATTGCAGTGCCAAGAGAAAGGGCCTTTCTAGAATAGGAGCAGCCACGTGCCCTAAGAACACTAGCAGGAGATCACTAACAGAACCCCAGCAACAGAACACCAGGTCCTCTGGATTCCCACACTGGTGACCCTGGCATTCAGCTTCCAAAGCTGTCCTGTATTCTTGAGCTTGCTTTTGGAGAGATGAAGAAAATGTGAGAGGAAGAGTCCCATACCTCTGCAATGATGTCACCATTCTCTGCGTGGACTTGAGCTATGGCACCGATATCCCGGATCACGCTCAGTACTTCATAGATCTGAGGAAGAGGAGGGTGAGCTCAGAGACTAGAATTTGAATCTTCCAGGTCAAAGGAAATCCCCTTGGTGGGGGAGAAACTGCACCCAGGCTGCTCTGGTAGGCCAGGCTTAGCAATACGCTCAAGGGGACTGCTTCTGGCCACTGCCATTCACAGAGGCAGCCCAACCAAAAGGACAGGAGTGAGGTGTGAGAAGCAGGGGATGTCAGCTCTGCACACGTGTGATGAGGGACTCTCAGTACTACCTCCAGGACACAGGGTATCCTAAGTAGAGGTTACAAGGTTGGATTCTAGAGTCTGGTGGAGAATGACCCCATCAAAGGCCAATTCCATCAAAAATCAAATCTGTCAGCCATGTCCCGTTAATCTGTGGGTGAGCTGTACACACAGGGAGAATGCTTCCCCAGATGGCAGGGGTGACCAGACTAAACAGAATGCAGGAGGCTATTCAGAAAACCTGGCTTTCTTACCTGGGAATCTGTCAGCTGGAATCGATCTTTGAAAGCCATGTACACGAGGAAGGAGTTTACCCCTAGCGACAGACAAAGAAGAGAAGCAGATAGTGAGTTTTAATAGATAAACCCAAACCAAACAATCTGTACATAAGACAGTGATGGCTGTCATAGGTGTGTGCCTGTGCATATCTGTGTGGGAGAGAAAAAGAGATGGAGACACCGTAAGAACAACGAAGCAACTGTGCAGTAACACACCTGTCATCCCAGATACTCAGGAAGCTTAATTAAGGGGATCACGCTTTCACGGCCTGACTGAGCTTCAGTGGAAGCTCAAGGCAGTGTAGGAAGCTTAGAGAGACCCTGTCTCAAAAAGCAAAGACTACACAGGGCTGGCACACAGCTCAGCAGTGGAGTGCTTGGCTGGCACTCCAGCTCTTCAGCATCAAAGAGTTAAAAAGGAAAAAGCATGACAGAGACAGACAGACAGACAGACAGACAGACAGACAGACAGACAGACAGAATGACAAAGCAAATGGGAATCTCAGAGTAGGATTTCTGCACACTGTTTTCAGGGTTCTTATGATTTTCCTGTTTGGGAACTTTTAAAGTCCATCGAAATTAAAACCTGCGATGTGGATACACTCTTCACAGCAGCATAACTCACAACAAGCAGAAGGTGGAACCACCCACCCAACCCTACCACCAGGTGAGCATCAGTGGGTGAACAGACACAAAATGAGGTCCCTGTATAAGCTGGAACACCATTAAGTCTTATAAAGGAAATTTAGCTGTATGGGATAATGGTGATGAACACAGAAGCCATCCTCCTGAGTGAAATACACCAGTTACAAACGATAGGTGCTGTAAAAAACACGTGCAGGAGGGACAGAGCAGTCAGTGCCATGGAGAGGCAAAACCCCACGTGCATGAGGGTCACAGAGCAATCAGTATCACAGAGGGCAGGATGGGGTTACCTGGGCTGGAGGAAGGGGCCAGGGATTCCGGAGACAGATTTTCATTTTAGCAAGAGGAAGCATTCTAGAGGTGGTGACGGTTTGGGGAATTTTTCTATTACATTTATTTGTGTGTGTATGCATGGGTGTGCTTGTGCCACAGCATGCAAACGGAGGCAGAGGACAACCTGTGGGAAGTCAGTTCTCTCCTTCCACCATGTGTGCCCTGGGAATCAAATCCAGGTCATCAAACTTGGCAGCCGGTGCCTTTACCCACCTCAGAGGCCCATTTGGATGGATTTGAAGCAAGGTGAAAGCTGAGTGAGTCCACTCAGTGCACACTTAGGAGTGATTCAAACTGTGCATCTTGAGCTGGAGACACAGCTCAGAGGTTAAGAGCACTGACTGCTCTTCTAGAGGATCCAGGTTTGGTTCCCAGCACCAACATGGTGGCTCATAACTGTCTGTAACTCCAGTCCCAGGAGAACAAATGGCCTCTTCTTGTTTCTGCAGGCACAAGGCACTCACATGGTGCACAGACACACATGCAAGCAAAAAACTCATGCACAAAGTAAAATAAATGAATAATTTTTTTAAAAAATAGTCTATAATTTATCACTTTTTAAAAAGCTTTCTTAAAACTGGTATATTCTGACTGTGACAAGAAAGTGAATTACAAACTTCTGACTATAAAAATTGTCTTTTCTTTGGCAAGCCATGATAGTTTTTAAGAAACATTAAAAAAAAAATAAGAAAAAAAATCCATTAGTTTGGCAAGCAGCTGTCCATCCTAGCATCTTGGAGTTCTTGCCTCCCGAGGCACCAGACCAAATATCCCTGTCCAAGAACCATCACAATCCTAAACAATCGTCTTGACAACCTCAGAGCCTTGGAGCTTAATTCAAACCACCTGGGGATGCTGGAAGCTGCCTGAACTAAAGGCCTCTGGGCATCCCAGTTTTTCACTCCACACCAGGCAACAGTTGCCAAGCAACCTGCCTAGCCTGATTTAGGATAGACTGACCCTAAGAATTGGAAGTTAAAATCCGGCGACATCTGTGTAGTCTCAAGAAGTTAGAACAGTCCTAGCTGGAAGCCAGAAATGCCAGAAGTGTGCTTGGAGGCTCACTGGTTCCGAAATGACTTTAGGGCCACCTCTTCAGAGGTAGGGAAAAACATTACAGTAGCATTGAATGGCCATCAAGGGAAAGCTGTTGCCTCCTAGCTGAAAAAAATGAGATCTACTTCTGGATGGAGATGAATCACTGTCTCCTCTCTTAAGAGGGAATCACCTGGCCAAGGCACTGCCCTTCTGAAAGGCAGGTTCACCTTAAGTCATGCCCTGCCCCTCCAAAAAAAAAGAAGAAAGAAAAAGAAAAGGGAGGAATAATTATCTTTTAAAGAGGTAATGAACTTTCCATCCTAGAATTCCAGCTCCCTCAGAGAAACATAACTTTTCCACTTCTTCTTTCTATCCCCTTTCAAAGCCTGCCTTCTCTAACACCATGGGCTTCGCTGCTTTTCCAGCTCTCCTCCCCGCCTCATGGCTGAGCGGCTACCATACAGCTTAACCCAAACAGCATGATCTTTTCTCTCTTTTCTTTCTCCCTCCCTCCTCCAGGCAACTTAACTACCTTTGGGCTTTTTCCTATTAAAATGGTCCTTGAGTGTCAAAAAAAAAAAAAAAGAAATAAGAATTTGCAGGGATGGGGGTTGGCTGGGTGGTTACCTCCATGCTAGGAAGATACTTAAAGGACATCTTAGTCCGATATTCACAGAACAGGTGAGTCAAGGTTTACATGAATTGCCTAACAGCACACAGCTAGTCTGTGGACAAGCTGGCTTCCCATCCCCGAGCCTTTTATATGGAATCTGTAGATGCTTTTCCTATCAGCTTCCACCTTTTCACTCACAGCACATATTGTTTCTGACTCTGAATCACTAAGAACAAAACAATTAGTAGCACTTCCCACAAATCAAACCCCCATGATATCAAAGAATGACTCCTAGGACCGAATCCACAGCCAAGCTGAAGGGGGCCCAGGAAAACCATGTGGTTCATCTCTACCACCTGAGCTCCCCAAGTCTCCCATGGACAGGAGTCCTGGGGCACCTTGAGGTACATGAAGACTCCTCTGGCCTCCCTGAGAACCCTTCCTCCCATTCCCTGGGAGTCTCTGAAGCAGAAAGGGCCCTTCAGCTTGTCCCAGCCTCATTCTTGCAAGTTTGTGTGACAAGTCTACCCCCAAACTCCAAAGACAAACCTACTGCCTCACTGGGCCTTGGAGGGCCAATCACTTCTTGAGACCACATCCCTCAAGCCTGTGGGATGCTGTTGCACAAGAAGGCACCCCAGGGGGAAGCCATACTGTCTTATTCATACAGGCTCATGCCCCTACACTGGACCAGGGCCCCTGCAATCACCATAAGCTGTAGGCTAGAGCCCCCATTGCTCGCTGGAGGAAGGCTTTGAGTTAGAATAAAGCATTTGCTATGGAGTCTCAAGACCTACCGTGGTCCTTCACCAGAGCTTCCATCTCCTCCTGGATGCCCTTGTGCCACTCAGTGATGTCCACGTGCAGAGAATAGTCACAGCAGGACTTGCTGTCAGCCCACTCCCTCCATTGATCAAAGGCAGCCAGTAGGCTTGTCCCAGGTTCAGGAACAACATGGTCAACTGGAAAGGAACAGACATTTGTCGTCATCATTGGAGACTCGTGAGAAGGTGTTTACCCACTTGAACCCTGAACCGAGCCTCCTGGGTTCCCACTGGAGACAGTGTCTCTCCAACAATGTCTTGGAATGCACTTAAGCCAGCTGAGTACCCAACAGGGAGAAACTGCAGACAAGTGAAACCGTGCATGAACTATTCAGATCCCATTTATCAAATCTAAGTCCGAGTCCCGGGGCACATTCTGAGGACAATGAGTCCTTATGGACAATGGCAGTGTCACAGGGCCAGCTAGAGGAGCCAAACCCTTCTTTGTGTCACTAGCTGCCATGAGACGCCCCAGTAGACAGCCAGGCTTCGGAGAGGCTGGAGTGGGGCCATGTACGATAGGCCTTTGCAAACCAGCAAGCAGCCCCACTCATCCCTGGCCACTCAGGTTTCCATGGTGTAATTCCACTCCGTAATTTAAGGGCAATCTTTCATCTTAAGAGTTTAAATCATTTTGAAGCTGAGCTTGCTGTCATATTATTACTAAGGCAGGCTGATATTTAGGACAAAGAGCATGAACTTAGGCTGCTCAGTTTGTCCCCTGGCTCCACTAGTTTCCCACAGGTACCCCGGGTACACGGCTCTGCTGCCCTAAGTCTCAATACTGCTTCTAAAGGGGATTGTATTATCTACAGACTTTGTTGTGAAGATAACACACAGACAGAATGTCTGTCAACCTTACAACACTCCTTGATTTTAATCCTCCAGTGCCTTTCTCATGAACTGAAAATATAGTTTGAAGTCCACAACAAGCTCTGTAAGAGCCTGGCTGACCTCCACAGCAGGACCCTGTGCCGTCTCTTACTTGCCCTCTATCTCCAGATGAACAGGCCATCTTTCAGTTGCTACATCAGGCTGCTTCCTTTCACCCCAGGGCCTTTGCACATGCCATTATCTCTCATAGGTTCCCTGGAGAGCTCTTGCCTGGCTTCCTTGATGACATGAGGTTTTCTGGAACTATTATCACTCATCTTCGGCACACACACACAAAACAAAGCACTAAGATTCCAAATGAAATTAGTTGTCCAAGGCTCAGGACTCTGGACTCCTACAGCAATGAGTTATTTTTCCAATATGGAATATTAAATTTCCCATGCCCAGGATCAAATCAGATGCCAACTACATTGTGACTGGCTTAAATTGGCTTCATACATATCAGAGATATGATCACCAGATACAGCAGTTACCCCTGCCTGATGATTATGAATTACATGCATGTATTGAATGTCACACTGCCCCCTGTAAGCCAATATCATTACTAGATGGCAGTTCAAATAAATGTATTTTGAAACACACTTCTAAGTTCTTTTGACAGAATTCTTTTTTTCCCCCCAACGCTTTCTCACTGGGGACTTCTCAAGTACCAGCTCAAAAAACTGGGCTATATAATAACATCAGGGTTCCGCAGCTATCAAGTATCATGAACATGATGTCAGCTGATGAGGACTTTGGCAAAATGCTACTACCCTATGAACTCTGTCAAGACAGTTCCAATTTTCTTCCTAATCTCTGCTCTCACTTCCACCCTACTGTCCCACCAACAACGAAAGTATCACTTTGTTAGCAACAAGCATTCTGGACTGTCTGTGGCTATAGCCTGCCTCGCCCCTCACTCTCCTGCATCCCACGCTCCCAGGCAGCCAGACAGACCTTGGAATACCCTTTATCCTCAGCTGCAGCCCAGTGAGCATCAGCCAGGAAGGGCAGACTCCAGCATCTCCCCAGAGCCCAGCTAGATCTAATCTTAGAAGGTGTCTCCAGTCTCCATCACACTCTCTGTCCCCAACATGGTTGTCACCCATGGCCACCCTGTGGGTTTCTTACTCCTTTGACTCACTCACCTGTTCCTGCCCACCCCATGCTCCCAGGCAGTGTCCCCCCACAGAAATCCTCTCTCTCTGTGTGCTTCACCAAACAGCATCTCCTCATCAAGCTCATGAGACTGCCACTGTCTTAGCTACACTGCCATCTGCAATAGCTTCTCAGTGACACATACACAAATATACTCACACTCACTCAGAGACACACACATTCACACATATACTCACAGAGACACACAGAGACACACACGCACTCACAGATCCTCACTCACAGACACACTGACAGACACACACAAAGACACGGACACACATACACTCACATGTACCTTCATGCGCGCGCGCACGCGCGCGCGCGCGCACACACACACACACACACACACACACACACACACACACACACACCACAAAGCATAAGCTCCTCAGAGCAGGGACAGTGTTTAGATACAGGAAGAGCTCAGTGAATGTCCTATGTAATCACTTTTTGGTACTCACATCTCACCTTTGAATCAGTGGAGAAAGCAAATGGTTTCAAGTGTACCCTCAGTATCTGCCAGCATCATTCTAGGACACCCCTAGGATGACAAAATTTCACAGACACCTAAATCCCTTGCATAAATTTCAGCATAGTATGTGCACACAGCCAGCTACATCCATCTGCATACTTTTTCGGGGAGGCTGAGAATTGATCCCCCGATCTCAGCATGCTGCAGCTGGGCTCCACTCCAGGCCCCCTCCATACACCTAAAGCCTCTCTATATTGCTTGCTTGCAGGACTCGAAGCAGTCCCACATGGCACTCCGCCTGTGTGAACCTGGTATTCCTACTTGCATTGAGGCAAATTTCAACTGCGCATTTTGTAACTTTCCAGAAATTTTTTTCCAAACATTTTTATTTGCGGCTTGGCTGAACCCAGAATTAATTGAATCCACAGATGCAGAATCTTTGGGTCCAACAGGTCAACTGTGCTCTCCTGGTAACAGGGTCAGCTTTCCTACTGAACCCATAGGCTGCTCTGGAGACCCTCCTGCCCCGCCCTGCTGGACAAGGAATGTTCCTCCCACCAGACAGCATGGGACACGAAGGAAAACTGCCTTCTTCAAGGCTGATTTTTCTAAAATAGAGGCAGTTTTAGGTAAAGTTAATATTACATCTACTCAGTTACCACCCCCTCCCTCAAATCAACCACCTCAACTTGCCAGCATTCATCTTCTTTTCTACAAGCTGTATTTTATTCTATTTCCTTAGCTATAGTCTATCTATCTCCTCCCCGACAGTGTTTAAATGGCTTTAACAAGATAACCAAGCCAGTCCTGGACAGCACACCTGCAATCCCAGCATGCAGCAGTTAGAGGCAGGAGGAACTTGACGAGTTTGAGGCCAGCCTGGGCTACATAGTGAATAAGTCAGCCTGAGACATTGAGTGATACCCTGTCTAAGAAAAACAAGTGAATGACAATAAAAACCTTAAAATACAAGGTTTGAAGATTCCATCAAACAAAAACAGGAAAAATAGATGACAGGTAGGAAGGGAAAAATGGGGGGGGGAGACAAAATGAAATCAAGAAGAAGGTTGTATGCTGCACGTTTATGCGTGTGTGCGTGTGTGCGAAGACATATATAAATGCATGCATCATTGTGTGTTCATGTGTGCAGACCTGTGTAAGTACTTTGTTAGTGTCCATGCATGTTTACACCTATGCACAGGCATACATGCATGCATGTTTGCACCTTCGTGTGTTCAAATCAGCAGCTAAACAACGGTTTGAAAGCCTCACACATCTGCTAGACTTCAAGTTAGGCTCTCAGGCCCATATCCAGGAGGCCTGACATCCAGCAGATATCCTTCCTGAGGGATCAACAAGGCAAATCAGTTCTCATAGTGCTCAACCCACTGAGTATAATGATTATTTTAAATATCTTACTATTGGATTGGATGAAATAGTTTATATAGACACACTGGATGTTCTGATTTGCCCATTACAGAGAATAAAGACTAAGTTCTCAAAGCCCTGCCCCTACACTGGCATTCTTTCATCCTATTTATCCTGTCAATAGTAAACATGGTCGCTTTGAGATACTCTTCTTTTAGATATATTTATTTTTACTTTATGTGTAGGGGTATTTTGCCTGCCATGGAAGTCTATGCACCATGTGCAAGCCTGGTGCCCACAGAGGCCAGAAGAGGTCACCGGATTCTCTGGAACTGGAGTTACAGGTGGTCGAGTCACCATGTGGGTGACTGGGAACCAAACCTGAGTCCTCTGGAAGAGCAGCCAGTGCTCTTTAACCACTGAGCCATCTCTCCGGTCTCTGTGATACCTTTTAATATCCTATGTAAGTAATATCCTTCCTTGCCACTAAGCACATACATATTCATATTCCCCAGTGCTGGGCATCAAACCTAGTGTCTTGTACATAGTAGGCAAGACTTCTGAATGACTGAGCTACTCTATCAGGCTTCTAACTTTTATGAAAGTAAAAGTTTCTTTCAACAGCCCACTTCTTTCCACAAGATCTGTCTGTTTCCTTCTCCACCTAAAGAACCCGGGAGAGCCCTGTGCAGGGTGCTCCATGAAGGATGCTTGCTCCTGGGACAGCTCAAGCAAGGAGCCTGAAGTGGCTCAGCCTTCACAAAGCTGTAGGGACAGTAGCCAGGAACACCTTCAGAACAGTAACAGGACCCACAAAGGGACTCAGACACTCTGACGCCATGCTTCTCCATCCTCAAGGAATAAGAGAAGTGCCTTGAGTGTAAACCCCAGTTCATGGCCTCACCCTTTGCCCCTGTTCTGGACCACAGATCCAGATGACCCCTAGGGAAATGAGTTTCTGATAAGCAGCCATTCTGACTCTGGCTGAGTGTAGACCATTTTTCCGTTTGCCTCTCCTTCCATTTCCACCCACTCCGGCCTCAGAGGGGCCTGTTCACCACACAATGGCAATGCCAGTTTCAAAACAAAACCAGGTCCCCTGGCTATGAGGCTAGGCCAAAGCCAAAGTATCCAATTAGTGAGCCATGTGATAGCCAGCACTTGGGAGAAACAGACATGCTTCCTCTCAGCTAATGACACTTGCAACTGTGTCCCTGAAATGCCTGCATGAGCTTTCCCACATTCTCTTTCCATGGAAGGTCTCCTG